AACTAGACTGGAGGAGATTGTTGAATTAGAACCAACAACTAGACTGGAGGAGATTGTTGAATTAGAACCAATAACTAGACTGGAGGAGATTGTTGAATTAGAACCAACAATTAACAGTACTTGTTTAACACACAGTTTATTATTAACAGTACTTGTTTACCACACAGTGTATTATTAACAGTACTTGTTGACTACACAGTTTATTATTAACAGTACTTGTTTACCACACAGTTTATCATTAACAGTACTTGTTTACCACACAGTTTATTATTAACAGTACTTGTTTACCACACAGTTTATTATTAACAGTACTTGTTTAACACACAGTTTATCATTAACAATACTTGTTTACCACACAGTTTATTATTAACAGTACTTGTTTACCACACAGTGTATTATTAACAGTACTTGTTTACCACACAGTTTATCATTAACAGTACTTGTTTACCACACATTTATAATTCAACAATCTCCTCCAGTCTAGTTGTTGGTTCTAATTCAACAATCTCCTCCAGTCTAATTGTTGGTTCTAATTCAACAATCTCCTCCAGTCTATTTAATAAACTGTGTGGTAAACAAGTACTGTTAATAATAAACTGTGTGTTAAACAAGTACTGTTAATAATAAACTGTGTGGTAAACAAGTATTGTTAGTAATACACTGTGTGGTAACCAAGTACTGTTAATGATAAACTGTGTGTTAAACAAGTACTGTTAATAATAAACTGTGTGGTAGACAAGTACTGTTAATGATAAACTGTGTGGTAAACAAGTACTGTTAATAATAAACTGTGTGTTAAACAAGTACTGTTAATAATAAACTGTGTGTTAAACAAGTACTGTTAATTATAAACTGTGTGGTAAACAAGTACTGTTAATAATAAACTGTGTGGTAAACAAGTACTGCTAATAATAAACTGTGTGGTAAACAAGTACTGTTAATGATAAACTGTGTGGTAAACAAGTACTGTTAATAATAAACTGTGTGGTAAACAAGTACTATTAATAATAAACTGTGTGGTAAACAAGTACTGTTAATAATAAACTGTGTGGTAGACAAGTACTGTTAATGATACACTATGTGGTAAACAAGTACTGTTAATGATAAACTGTGTGGTAAACAAGTACTGTTAATGATAAACTGTGTGGTAAACAAGTACTGTTAATGACCACTTAAAATAACCAATAAGTCAAGACTATTGTGTAAGTGGTTGAACACACCTGGATGATAACCATACATATTTCTGATAAGCAATAAGTCGAGACTATTGTGTAAGTGGTTGAACACACCTGGATGATAACCATACATATTTCTGATAAGCAATAAGTCAAGACTATTGTGTAGGTGTGGTTGAACACACCTGGATGATAACCATACATATTTCTGATAACCAATAAGTCAAGACTATTGTGTAGGTGTGGCTGAACACACCTGGGTGATAACCATACATATTTCTGATAACCAATAAGTCAAAACTATTGTGTAAGAGTGGTTGAACACACCTGGGTGATAACCATACATATTTCTGATAACCAATAAGTCAAAACTATTGTGTAAGAGTGGTTGAACACACCTGGGTGATAACCATACATATTTCTGATAACCAATAAGTCAAGACTATTGTGTAGGTGTGGTTGAACACACCTGGATGATAACCATACATATTTCTGATAAGCAATACGTCAAGACTATTGTGTAAGTGTGGTTGAACACACCTGGATGATAACCATACATATTTCTGATAACCAATAAGTCAAGACTATTGTGTAGATGTGGTTGAACACACCTGGATGATAACCAAACATATTTCTGAACTCTTAACAGAAAAAATAACTCAATTAACGCTTATTAACTAATGAATGTTTTCTAATAAAATATCATGTTCACTAGAGGTCTCTCTTCATAAATCTTGCCTTATTGGCAGTCAGCATAGTTTTTACAATCGGAATTTTCTATCTTTAAACAACCCAGTTATTCTCCAGCTACTTCGTTCAAATGTAATAATTTAATAAGAAAAAACATTTTGTAACAGACTAATATTAAAACACACCGGAAAATTTTCGTTGTTCTAAACCGCTTATTCATTCATACAACGTACAAGTTTAGTGCTGGATCAGCACAGTATCAACTTCCGCCAGGTGCCGCTGACTTCTAGGGTTGCTTCGGTGGGAAGGTACGATTTGGTTGATGAAGTTTCTGCCCTCTTGCGGAAACGGTTGCAAACATATTTGACGGGACGGAGATACGTCGAAGGCTGTGGCTGCTGTTGAGCTGTGAATCCCGTATAACAAATAAACAACGAATCCTGGAGTAGAAAAAATTGATAATTATTTAGTAACCGATCTTTAGTTCAAATAAATTTGGATAGAAAAACAAAACATGAAAACTTGTAGAAGCTAATCAGCCTATTTCTGATTAAGTTTACAGGCTTTAAATTAAAACTCGGTGAGTCACTTGTGTAATCATGACCATGGAACAATGACCAGGCCTGCACGAACCTTATGTTGACAAGAACTGCTAATTACAGTATCGATTATGGCACCTCTTGCGGTGGGTGTCCTGTGCAGAGTTAATTACGTTAGTCTTTAATTGATTTTTTGAACCTATTTGTTCTCCTAACATCAAATATTTGGTATGCTTCACGTTGAAAAATGTGAAACGATCAGGCCAACAACACTCGTCACCTACACCAAACAATCAGCAACACTCGTCACCTACATCAAACAATCAGCAACACTCGTCACCTACACCAAACAATCAGCAACACTCGTCACCTACATCAAACAATCAGCAACACTCGTCACCTACACCAAACAATCAACAGCACTCGTCACCTACACCAAACAACCAATCAACAACACTCGTCACCTACATCAAACAATCAGCAACACTCGTCACCTACACCAAACAATCAGGTAGCACTCGTCACCTACACCAAACAATTAGCAACACTCGTCACCTACACCAAAAAATCAACAGCACTCGTCACCTACACCAAACAATCAGCAACACTCGTCACCTACACCGAACAATCAACAGCACTCGTCACCTACACCAAACAACCAATCAACAACACTCGTCACCTACATCAAACAATCAGCAGCACTCGTCACCTACACCAAACAATCAGCAGCACTCGTCACCTACACCAAACAATCAGCAGCACTCGTCACCTACACCAAACAATCAGTAGCACTCGTCACCTACACCAAACAATCAACAGCACTCGTCACCTACACCAAACAATCAGCAACACTCGTCACTGTCTGTGAAGAAATAATTATTTACCAGAAACATGACTGAAGAATAAGTTAACCTGTTGTCTGTGAAGAAATAATTATCTACCAGAAACATGACTAAAGAATAAGTTAACCTGCTGTCTGTGAAGAAATAATTATCTACCAGAAACATGACTAAAGAGTAAGATAACCTGCTGTCTGTGAAGAAATAATTATCTACCAGAAACATGACTAAAGAGTAAGATAACCTGCTGTCTGTAAAGAAATAATTATCTACCAGAAACATGACTAAAGAATAAGTTAACCTGTTGTCTGTGAAGAAATAATTATCTACCAGAAACATGACTAAAGAATAAGTTAACCCGCTGTCTGTGAAGAAATAATTATCTATTGCCAGTGTTAGCTTGACATTTTTTTAGATTTTATTCGTTATTTTTTTTTAAGGAAATACAATCGAATATAAATCAAACCTTCTTAATTCTCTTCTCTCGCAAGGCATTATTAAATAATAATAGTTTACACTGAGGCCTACCTATTGTCATCCAGACGAGAATAGGGATCCAGACAATGGTAAGTAACTCGACTAAGAGGCAGACGTTGAGAAATATAGCAATAGGAGCAATAGATAGGAGAAGTGGCACTCTGAAGGCTGGTCTCTGACCTCTGACCTGATAGGGCCCTATCTGTGGCTGTCGAGTTATAACCAGGAGCATAATTACAGCCAGTACAAATCCCAATGATGACATTATAATGCAGGCGGGATGTCCCTCGGTTAGGTAGGGGGACCACACGGTCATAGTCAGGGACATTACCAAGAACCCTAGCGTAAGTCCAACTGTTGCCATGGTTACCCGTCGTCCCGTAACTCCGGTGGGTTCGCGTCCACGACTAGGGCCTTCGATGTGAGTGAGAGCTGCAACTTTTAATTTTTCTTTATACTCAGCTACGATTGCGTCGATGTCTGTTTCCGAAGTGTCTTCTTGGTTGGTGTCACTTTCACTGAGAGAAGAACCGACGAGAAGCTTCTGGGAGTTTTCATCTAAGAACCATTTTTTCGATGTGTCAAACACGTTTTTGTTTTCTCTGTTGGCATTCCAATCAATCAGATCTTGTGGTGTAGAGTTCTTATCGATTTGTAGTGATTGATTGGTTGGATGACCATCAAGTTTCACATTAATTTCTGAGGAATTCCGAATAGAGGTTGGACAGCCATAAGGCTTATCATTTTCTTGGCTGAAGGTCAGTTGACTTGTTGGACGGCCTTTAGGCATAACACTTTCTTGTTTGTAGGTCATTTGGTTTTGTGGACGGACATTAGTCCTGCCATGTTCTATTGAGAACCTCCGATTATAAGTCAGTGGAGTTCTTCCAGAACATTCTGAGTCTGTCGGAGAACAATCACTGAGGAGGACTGGCTCGTACAGCCAGGAGTCCGGAGGCTGGTAACGCCTCACCAAAGTCAAAGTGCTTATTATTGTATTGATAAGCAGAGGTGGGGTGGCCATTATTTCGATTAGGTCCTCCACGTCAAGAAAGACGGCGAATAAAGAACTTAATAGAGCAAATACAAACATGGAGACCGCTGGAGTTCCCGTTTTATCCCAAACTTTGGAAAGACTTCTGAATATCAAACCATCGGCTGCCATCAAACTGATTGTCTGGAAGAGTGGGTAAGAGGTCTCCAATGATAACAAAGTTAGTGACAATAAGGCGCCGCTAGCCATCACGAATCTAGCCCACCCGACGTCTCGTACTGCAAATGCATTCACAAGCGGCACTGCAGACTGAAGATCGTTATAGGGAACGAATAGGTTTAACACAACCGTCATGCTAAAACACACCAGAAAACAGAGGACACAGCTGATCCCAATAGCTACAGGAATGTCCTTGTGGGGGCGCTGCAATCGCTTGGTTTCTTTGATGACTGCGTGTGGACAGAGGAATGCATAGATACAGATGGCAGCACCAGTTAATACCTACAAAATGATACAAACAATACTTATTTAGACCGTTAGCAAATTGCTCCGATTAAACAATGATAGCTTTGATATATTTTTTTTAAATACATTGTACAAGAAGCTAATAATAGTATGGGTTTATAATACTTTAAATGTTCGTTGTTTTCTAGTGGATTGACAGCGGAATATCGTAAACCATGGAATCAATCTTCGTGAAACCAATATACGCATTTCTCGTTCAACGTTTTTATACACCCCCCCCCCCCTCCAGTGGCACAGCGGGATGTCTGCGGACTTGCGACGCTAGAAACCGGGTTTCTATACCCGTGGTGGGCAGAGCACAGATAGCCCATTATGTAGCTTTGTGCTTAACAATAACGACTTCTTCTATGCACCTGAATTAGTGCAAACAACGGAGGATTTTCAGGTGCACCAAACGTGCATACAGAAGAATACTAATAATGTTGGTGTGGAGTTTACATTAGAGCTTGGTGTACGACAGCTACTGTAGACACAACACTGTGTTGGTGTGGAGTTTACATTAGAGCTTGGTGTACGACAGCTACTGTAGACACAACACTGTGTTGGTCAAGAGTTTACATTAGAGCTTGGTGTACGACAGCTACTGTAGACACAACACTGTGTTGGTCAAAGTTTACATTAGAGCTTGGTGTACGACAGCTACTGTAGACACAACACTGTGTTGGTCAAGAGTTTACATTAGAGCTTGGTGTACGACAGCTACTGTAGACACAACACTGTGTTGGTCAAGAGTTTACATTAGAGCTTGGTGTACGACAGCTACTGTAGACACAACACTGTGTTGGTCTAGAGTTTACATTAGAGCTTGGTGTACGACAGCTACTGTAGACACAACACTGTGTTGGTCTAGAGTTTACATTAGAGCTTGGTGAACGACAGCTACTGTAGACACAACACTGTGTTGGTCTAGAGTTTACATTAGAGCTTGCTGTACGACAGCTACTGTAGACACAACACTGTGTTGGTCTAATCAGTAGAGTTAACATTAGTTTTTCAATATGTCTAACGTAATGTCAAGAAAATTGTGATATTCAGGGGTGGAGCCTGCCTTAGGACATGGCAAGAAAGACGTCTGCCTCCATCTCTATGGAGATGGGGAGCTTCATAGATATTTTCATGCCTGATTCTCAAAGTTCATTGCAAAACCACCAGACTTAAGAAAAATACTACATCTGTACTTAGAATAATAAAACTGTGTTTGGAGAAACTGATGGCAAAACTTTATTGATTCCACCACTAGAGGGCGTTCTGAAAATAAAATCAAACTAAAGAATGAATGTATGTGCATGTTTTTTGCGTTGTAAATCTGTAAATCTAAACCCCCGGGGGGACCCAGAGAATGAAAAACTGCTTAAAAAATAATCGGATAGAGATAAATATGTCTTATTGATGTTGATTTGTTTTACTCAAAGGAAACAAATAGATAAAGTTAGAGCCAGAAAGGGCATGTAGGGATAAAAACTATAGAAAATAATATTGCTGGGTGAGTAAACAATGAACGAAAACAGAAGTAAGTATAAACAGAATTTTTGTTATTTATTTTGTATTTAATATTTAAAGGACTCTACACCGAAGAATTCACTAGTTTCTAATAAGTTAAAAGTTACCACAAATTAAGATTTCTGTTCATTACTTACCCCACCAGGACCTTTGGTTAAAAAGCCTCCGCTCTCTGTCCAGTTTCTTACGTCACTATAAAGAGATCCAATAACTACGAAGAACGTTGCTGTCAGTGTGGAAGAGGTAACTAAAAAACAACCCAGCCATCTGCTGTGACGAAGGCCTAGGGTTACGACAATGGCTGGGGCAAGAACTAGGCCTAACGCCAGGACATCGGGCACAGTGTCCAGCACTACGACACGACCAAGCACGTGCTCGAAAAAACGATGGACACTCTTTCCCGTTAAAAAGTTGATTATTGCACTTTGTACTCGGCATACTGCTGCTAACGCCACCAGGTGTTGAAAAACGGAAGTCCATCCTACTAGGAATGCTGCTAGTTCGCCGACTGATTGGTAGGTGTAGGTAAAAAGGTTATTGGCTTGTTGTGATTGGCTGGTGATAAATTCGGTGATGCACAAACCTAGAAAATATAATTAGAAAAATTCGTGAACTTTCTAATCAATACTCTCAGTTAACCAGCACTTAATTTAAACATACAAATGTAAATTAAGACATTTTACTGGTATGTTTTACCAAATTAGAATGAATTTTTAAAGTCACTATAAATCCAATGCCGAAAAAGTTTTGCTGTGTATGTGTGTGTGGGGGGGGGGACGTGATTTTTTTTTTTGTTCGATGCGTTTCCAGTAAAACAAAGCAAGCAAGAGCGGTCACACGACCTCTGGTCACCCCT